GGGGGGGGGGGGGATGGCCTTGAGGATATCCCATAATATGAAGTAATATAATTATCAAAGTCTGCTGGAAAAAACACTATGAGTTTAAATAAATATCTAACATGATAGAAAAGATCACATAATGGAGATTAAAAGAACTCACTGACCTATAGAGCCTAAGTTGTCCTCTGTGTCACAAAATTTCTAAGACTTTTTGAACATGTACAATTATCTGTGTCCACTTATTTCCTCATAAACAAACATCTTTGGACTATTTCCTAATTCTACACACCCTTTAAAACTATAGTAAAATTTCACAAATGGCTTTTCCTGTTTTGCTTTATATTGTATTGTGGCCCATCTGGAAATATATTAAGTGGTTAGTTCCTTCAAATAAAAGTATACAAAATTATATTGCTCACACACAAAATGAACATTGAACACATGGCAAATGGATACTAGATATCACTGTTAGAAAACATCTAACAACAATAAAATAAGCAATAAAAACTGAGGGTTTGGTTTAACAAATGCAATGTTTATCTACCTTCCTCATAAATTATATATTCAAGAATTGTGTCCTGTGCAAAATACAAACATGTCGATTTCAGCCCAGGAGGCATTTTTCTCTAGTTTATAACCCCTTGAAAATAGAGGTTTCATCTATAAAACCTAATAGATCCTTAGCTCCTTTAAACATTATAATATATTCATAAGGCATGTAGTGCCTGGCAAACATATAACAAATTAAATGACATGAAGGTGGGGTCCAAATTCATACTGAGGGAAAATGGACCAAACCAACCATAAGATACAAAGTAGAAATCAAACGAGAAAAAAAATATGCAAAATTAAACAACATGAAAAGCAAAACACTATGTGGTGTTTTTTAGCTAAATTAGAGAAAATGGTGATTGGGTGTGTCCATGTCAATTTGTGTGTTGTGTAAGATTAGCATTAATATTAAGAATGCAAAACTATTTTATTAAGAATATACTGTAAGTGCCAGGCTGGCGTGGCACAGTGGTTAAAGCATCGACCTATGATCTAGGCGATCAAGGTTCGGTTCCTAGTCGGGCACATGCCCTGGTTGTGGGCTCGATCCCCAGCAGGGGGCGTGCAGGAGGCAGCTGACCAATGACTCTCATCAATGACTCTCATCATTGATGTTTCTATCTCTCTCTCTGCCTCTACCTTCCTCTCTCTGAAATCAATAAAAACATGTTTAAAAAAAAAAAAAAAGGAATATACTGTAAGGGTCATAAGTGAGAATAAAGTATCTTGTAAAACAAAAAAATCACTTACCATCATAGTAGACAATAGCTCCTACCAGTCTGTCCTTCTGAAGCATTGGGAAATGCTCAAGGGCTCTCGATTTGCTGAGGATGTAGCTGCTTTTCAAGCAATTACTTCCTGCTACCAGATCGTATAGCTTGATTCCTACCCAGTAGTAAGGTAACTGCCACCATCTACAGCATAAACAGGGGGAAAGGTTTCTTTAGAAATAGTGTATAACATTACAGAATGTCACTTTAAGTTATTAGATACGTTTCATTTAAGAAAAGCACAGTATGTCTAGAAGTGTACTGCAAAAGAAACAGAACTGCATCACACTGTTTTTCACGCCAGCCTAGCTTGAATTATGTAAGTGAATGAATGGGTGAGCCTTTAAATGAATCACCCAGAAAGCAATAGTTCTTGACCTGGTTGCATATTAGAATTCTCTGGGGAGTATAAAAAAAAATGCAGATGCCTGGGCCTCACGTGTCTAGAGATTGATTTAACTAAACTAGGGAGGGGGCCTGGATGACTCTAATGGATCCCCAGGGTAGAGAATCACTGGCTTAAGATGTCTTAAGCAATCTATGACAAAATATGGGGGGGAAAAATGTAAAATCTGTTTCTAGGTCCCCCACAACACTTGTGGTTAACAAAGTCACAGTATCCACTTTTTCATATTACCTGTACTCTAATTTAAGGTAACTTCACAGATAGCTCTAACAATATTAGGAAAATGGGGTTTGTAATTTATAATCTGACACCTCTAAACAAAGTTTGGGTTAACTCATAAATTGAAAATGACCCACACTGATTTAGGTTTGCAGTTGGTACGTGTTAGGCTCAGATTTTGCAGCAGAATACGTCTGGGCTCTGCATTTTAGTCTTCAAATGCGCCTCTTATATTCCTCAAAGCAAATGCAGCTGCTCCTCTATATACTGTCAGAAACTGGAGTAAGAAACTACTAATTATAAATACAAAACACAACCTCCTTTGCCTTCAAGATGTTGCCTTTGGAGGTGGGTCAGTAGAGAATAATTTAGGAAAAGCCATCCTTTTAAATACAACAAAGGAAAATATTTGAGAATGATTAAAGATTAGGACTAATTAAAACTATATTAAGAATACAAGTTGAGGGAGTATTTCCATTAAAACTATGTTGTTCTATTAACCTCAGATAAGCAAATGTATATAGATGATATCAAAATGCTTACTTGTAAACTGGAAGCATTATAGGCAATGGAGATGATAAATGGGGAGCAATTTCTAACAGGTTGGCGCGCTCATGAAGGGCTTCTTTTACCATCCTATACTGAAAAGCAAAACAGAGAAAATTAGTTTGGCAGTAACAGATCATAATATTTTCAAATGGCAAATAGACACCCTGCCAACTGATTGATACACAGAAACCTCTCTACCTCTGAGCGAGGATAGCTCCCTCTTAATCAGATTTCTAATAATACATCATGCTGTCAACCTGGGAGATTTTTTAGAAACCTTAACTGTATTTGCATAGGAGAAAAACATGCTGTCAGAGCTCCCAGGTGTGTGACATTTTCCTGACTTGAGTTACAAGATTATTATAACAATTTATCTTGCATCCTCTATAGTGTCCCTTTTCTCAGTCCCTCATAATATTTTTCCCATGTAAGGAATAACAGATTGTTCAAATTCATGCTTAAACATTCCCTTCTTGCCTCCACTAACCCAAGCAGAGAGGATACTTAGGAATTGCATAGTATTTTATAGATTATTATAAAACAGCTTATCTCAATTCCTTGGGTCCTCATTACGCCTCTCTGAAGAACCAGCATTATGAGTACGATACTAATTTTACAAATGAGAAAACTGAGGCTCATAAAGATTGAATAAGTAAGCTGGAACGCATCCCAAGTCATCTGATTCTAAATCCTATGCTCTTTGCCTTGCAGCCATCATGATGTCGAAGAGACACCCGAGAAAAGGGGACAGATTCACAAGTGACAATGTCAAGTTAGTGCTGCTGTGTTTTTCACGTATGGAAGGCAGATACGGAGTTCAGCTGGGTTTTTTTTACCCCTCCGGGAAATGTCATCTAACACACTGCCTTGGCAGTTTTCAAATGGTGTCAGACTGGACACAATAAAGTGTGACATAAGAAAAGCATGACTCAGATCATCTTTCCTTAAGAATATGTCAGTGACAAGATTAACGTGTGACTGCCGTTTCAGTTAAGAGGATCAATGTGATACTCCCCCCCCCCATTACAGCACCGCTCCCTGAAACTGCTCGGGAAGTAGCAATTCAGTGGCTATTGACAAAAAATTAAAACATTTTAAAAATGAAGAAAGAAAAATACAAACACGATTGTTACAAAGCAACACGTCCAAAAGTGATTTTGTAAATCTGCTACTTTGACATGCCTGTGTAGAAAAAGCCCCTGATTACCCATAAACATAATACCACAGGAAAGAACCAGCACACCTCTCCTGAAAGATATTCCAGCAGAAAACACTAAATAGGTATTTCCAACAGGAAGAAATGTGAGAAACCATAAAAAAAATTGATTTAATTGGGTAGAAAAAAGCATAGTGGCAATTTTTGTTTAACAACCGGCATATACAATTACCTGCTCAAAATCCAACTTCATGATAGCCTTCTGAAGATATCTCACCCCACCGTGGATCAATTTAGTGCTTCTGCTGCTGGTCCCCGATGAGAAATCATCTCTTTCTACAAGGGCTGTTTTTAGTCCTGTGTAACCAGAAAACCAAATTAACTTCTTAAATTACACAATTTGTATGTAATTCATTAAAGGCACTTCTCCAGGGTAGAGACAATCACAAGAAAAATTACTCTGAACATGGATAAATTTGTATTCAAAGTGCAGTACACTGTCTATATTATAATGAAGAGATTTTAGTCTCTTCCTGGGGGAAAAGTCAAAGCTGAACTAGAAGCATATTAAACGGTGAATGAACCACAACTAGAAAATATTACAGTACAATTTCATGGCAGTAACATATTCCAGTGCTTTTAGAGGGTCCAAGGAGAGCCTGCACCCATCTTTACCCATGAGAGCTAACTCAGTATTTTTTTACAAGTCCTTCTGGAACTCTCACTCATCCCTCACTATAAGAGTCTAGACGTGTTCCAGCCCATCTCCAATCTACCCTAATGCATCATCAGTAAGTCTAGACTAGCCCTCATATGTGCTGGCTCCTATTTTTAAAATGGTAATAGAGGGCATAAAATGGGGAAAGAGATCAAAGATATCACAATAGAAGAAGAAAGAAGAAAATTAACCTCTGGTAGTGAGGAGTTCCTGGTTTAATTTAAGACATCCAAGCCCTAGATTGTAGAATTACAAAGAAAAATACAAGCGAGAACAAATGAACCCAGTGCAGAGTACCACAAGAAAAGACAAAGACAATATTCTTGGTAAAGGTGAGGCTGAGCAAAGAAAGGTCAGTTTCAGAAGTCATCCCTCTCCCCTGCCCCTTTCTTTGAGGGTTGTAATAAATCTCTTAAAGATAAAATTGATTTGGTTTGGTTTGGTTTGGCTTTCTGGCAGAGAACCCCCTACCTCTCCAGGACTGGGTAGGACCAGTAGTACTATGAGGCCCATACGCTAGTTAGAGATGAAATCTGAAACTTCAAAAGACCCAAAGTATATATCAACACCAAGCCATGAGGAATTTTCATGGCCTGGCATACTCTTGGGGGATGAGAGAATGTCATGGAATCCAATTACAATGAGAATATGTAACTGGAGCAGTTTGGGCTCACAAAGCTCATATAAGAGAACCTGTGCATGTATTCAATTCAGAGCCATTTATTACATTTAATACCAAAGGGTCGTTTTTATAACTTTTAACAGTTTAAATATCGTACCCAAATGTCATCATAAAATCAGGCCAATTCCCTTGACTCAAAGGACAAAATATTTGGAAGCCGTGGAGAGAAAAGTAGAGAACTTTGATTCAAGGGCAAAAACTGCTAATGCTCTAACTAAGGAGCAAAATAACACAGGAATTGCAAGTATCATAGACCCAGGTCACTCTTTTTAAGCATTTATGCCAGAGAAAGGTCTGTAAAATTCTTATCAGTGCTTAGTGAATTTAGTACTGGATGTATTATAAAAAAAATATCAAGTTAGAACATATTTTTATAAGAATACTGAGAGCTTAGTGCCAGGCAAAGTGATGATGTCAGAAATGAATTAGGAAGGGACTGAGATGAAAAGTAGCTTCCAGCCCAGAGAGGCACATAAAGTGCAATAGAGTTTTATAAGTACTACGTTTGAAAATACAGAGGGCTCTTATCTTACTCTGGGTTAGAAGTTAAATTCAGGACATACGCCCAAAATCATGTAGTCAACATTACATTTGAAATCTCTTAAGAATGCACTCACTGCCTTGCCCAGCCAGGCGTGGCTCTGCGGTTGAGCTCTGACCTAGGATCTAGGAGATAGCAGTTCGATTCCTGGTCGGGGGAGATGTGGGAGGCGGCCGATCGGTAACAACTCTCTCATCATTGATGTTTCTGTCTCTCTCTCTCCCTCTCCCTTCCTCTCTCTGAAATCAATAAAGATATTAAAAAAAAAAAAAAAATGCAGTCTTGGTGAGCTGTATCACCTTTTCTTAGTAAGTCTAACACAGAGAGTTCCTCCAGCTCTAAAATAGATCGTTTTTCTTCAGTTGAAGATCAGATGAGGGGGCTGACTTTCATATGGCATTTAAGAGCCAGATTATTTAAAATAAACTTCTTTTTCAACCTTGGAATCACAGTCATGGCAGGGACATAAGACTGAGAAAGGTCAAGCAGATTCCAGTCCAATCCCTGGCGCCCAGCCGGGCCTGCCCACAGGTATCCTGCAGGTTCTGGTAGAAGGCACCTCAGTCCCCGGTAATCCCCACTCCCTGGTGCCTCACCCCCTCCCTGGCTGGGCTGGGCCTGGTGCCACACAGCAGGGATGGCAGCACCTCACGTCCCTGTTAGGTTCCATAAAACTGACTTTCCTTGTACTTTTTTGCTTGCTCAGGAGAAGCTGCCATGTTGTGAGTCGAGGAACCACAGGAGGCCCCGGTCAACAGGTCGTGAGGAACTGAGGCCTCGGGCCAACACCCTGTGAGGAGCTGATCCTGCCAAGAAGCATGTGACCCGCTCGGAAGCGCTGCGTCCTGAGGGGCTCAGAGCCAGAGGCGGGCCAGGGCACACACAGATGCCTGGCGCACTGAAACTGGGAGAGTGGTGTTGTTTCAAGCCACTACATTTCGGGGAAGGTTACTGACGATACAGTTCCCTGTGTGAACAAGAACGACAGCCAAGGCAGGAGTTTAGAACTGTACCTGGGGATGGGTCTTCAAGAAAGGCCGAGGCTACAGAGGAGTGTGTGCTCCAGGTAGGGGAAGGGAAGGGAAGGGAAGGAAAGGAGTTACCACTGGCAAAGATCAGCGTAAGCGAGAGAAAGGCAAATGTCTGACGTGCCCAACCCACGGAGGAGCCACTTGCCCCTCCTCGGGGCTGCAGTGCAGGGCCCAAGGGGCGATGGGAAGGACCCGGAGGGAGCAGTGGTAAAAGGCCCGTCACAAAGGGCCTTCTGTCTACTTTGGGGCACTTGGACCCTGTCCTGAGGACCAGTTTCTCACAAGTTAAGTAATATCCGATCCCCTAAAAAGGAAAATGCCTCTGAGAACACGACTGCGAGTCATGGCTCAGTTTGGGAAGGAAATGCTTCTTCAGAAAGTATAAGATCTGGCATCAATGCCACTCGAGCATGGACTCAAATACTGAGCTCAGTCACAAGGTATCTGTTTGGAAGAACAAGGGTGTGCTTGTTGATTTTTTAACATTACAAAAAGAGGAATAAAACTGAGACTTTTCCAGAGGCTCTCAGGTATTGTTTTGAGAAATACTATTGTGCTGCCTATCTGGGGAAACACCAAAGTACTTTAAGCTGAGAAATTAGATGAATGTTCTAGAAAGATTTCTCTGAAGGCAGGCGTGGAGGGCAAGGCTGGAGGGGGAGGAGAGCTGGAGGCCGGAGAACGTTTAGGGGACCCAGGCCAGATAGCAGGAGCAGGGCAGTGCTGACTCCAGCTTGGCAAGGCCGAAGCTGACATTGGAGAGGGATGTGAAGAGTGAATTTTATGGACAGAATACATTTTTTTCCTTTCCCAAACCCACAGCGTGAGGCAGGGAACTACTCTAGGAATTAGCAAGCCATCTCAGGAAGATATTTCAGGATATTTAAGTGAGAGCTAACACTTTAAAGCCTCAAAACTGCTTTTGCAAGTATTGGACATTTTAAAAAGTTATTCGCATGTACGTATGTGAGAAGCCCTGGAGAATACCAAAGAAAGCTAAACGGGCCTCTCTGTCTATCCACGCTGGTTTTGCTTGTTCCATTATTTCCAGTGTCCTATCATCAAGCTGCCCACCAGGGTTTCGGGAGAGAAATGATACCGCTCCTTCCAGAGCAAAAACATAAAAATTTAGTTTCTCAACTTACAGCTAAATTGATATATTAAAGCATCATGTAATCTAAAGGTATCGCCAAAAGTTTTTAGAACCACAAAAAACTAAATATTCTAGAGAAAGAAAATATTTTTAAAATTTCAACTGCTGCTATATTGTAAATGTTCTAAATTTCTCATCTTTGTTGACAGAATGAGGAAGGAGGAAAGCAATGTAAAGCCAAGAAACTACTAGAAGCTATAACCATCTCCCAAAATTATATTCCTTAGGTGATTAATCATTATCTAATATGTTCCTTTCTGTTCACCTCTCAAAAATGCAAACTTTCTTCTGCCCCCAAAAATTACTGACCTGAAAAAAAAAATACTGATTTGAAATTAAGAGCTTAGTTTTCTGATACATTAAGTATAAAGCAAGGAAGTAAAAAAGTGCTATTTTGCCTTCTCAAGTGACATTCAGTGCTAACATTTTGTGTTCTTAGGGAAAATAACTAAACTTGAAAGACATCAGAAATAATGTCCCCAGGGTTCAAGCCACTACTTTTGGCTGCATTTGAGGAGCTTCAGAAATCTCCCTTCGGAGCAGAAAGAATGACCTCCCCACAGGCCCGGCGATGAAGGGCTGGCCTCTCTGCATTTACGCTAATTCACTAAACCAGTTCAAGATTTTATGAGAAATAGTTATGGTTTCTTTTCCTTTTAGATGTTACTTTTTACGGAAAGCAATAAGCTCTATCACTGCTGAGATGAATCAGAACATTTAGGATAGTGTTATTACTTCATTTTTTGTTTTATTATTGACTGTTTTTAGTAGATATTCTCAGGAATTCCATGAGAGTGACGAAGTATTAATATTGGAATGAAATTACTCTGAAATTATGAGGTGAAACAATATCAGAATTAGTTATAGCAGAAGAATGAAGTCAACTTGAAATCTACCTTTCAGTCATCTTCAGCCTACCCTTTAGCAAGTTAAAACTATCTTCTGTGTGGGACAAGAGATATAAACTAAATACAGCTCTTTATACCTTTGCCTTTTCTAACTTGAGTAAGAGTATCTAGCTATCAAGTACTTCCAAGTAAACCAATTTATGGATCAAGACAGTTGGATGAAGTGATCACCCAAATAAGTCTAGTTATATAGATCACTTTAAAAGTTATATAAATGTCTACTCACTATGTTGTACACCTGAAACTAGTATAATATTATATGTCAACTGTAATTTTAAAAAATTCATTAAAAAAAAAGACACTTGGATGAATATAGAAGGATAA